CCACTGCCCACATCCTTCCAGGTTGAGAAGGACCCATCCACTACCACCCTCTGGGTGCGGCCCTCCAGCCAGTTGGCGACCCATTTGACTGTGTGGGTGTCTACACCACAGCCTCCCATTTTCTTAATGAGAACGGGGTGAGAGACAGTGTCAAAAGCCTTCCGGAAGTCCAGGAAGACTATGTCCACTGCTACCCCTGCATCTAATGATCTGGTGATCTGATCATAAAAAGTCACCAGGTTGGTCTGACAGGATCTGCCACTGATGAACCCATGCTGATTGCCCCTAAGCATGCAGTCCCCTGCTGGCCCCTCCTGGATGTGTGCCAGAATTATTTTCTCAAACAGCTTGCCTAGGATCGAGGTAAGACTAACTGGCCTATAGTTTCCTGGGTCCTCCTTCCTCCCTTTTTTGAAGATTGGAACCACACTGGCCCTCATTGAGGCCATTGCTCCTCTTCCTGTCCCCTATCTCCATCTTCCCTGTGATCGCTCCTCAGGTATTTGAAGACTTACAATATCCAACCCGAACCCTCCTTAGTCTTCTCTTCTCCAGACTAAGTAGCTCTTTCAGCTTCATGCTAGCCTAATAAAATAAGATGGGAGGGACCTAGAATACAGAAAAAGCCACACACATCTTACAAAGCCAAGCAACCTCCTAACCTTATTTTGTTTAAAGTATCTTTGCTTGCTGCTGAATGTCATCTTTCCTGTGACATGCCTTATTGTTCCTGGGTAAGTTCAGCAGGGAGGCTGAAGCTTTTCAAAGACACACAGGGAAAAATCCTAGCTTCCAATGGCTCCTGACTCTTGTGAGCAGCTTAACAGCCCTTTATATCTCTGCATATGCCCCATCCAAGTCTTTATCCTTCCTAAAATATCAGGCACAATTCCTGGGTTCTAGACAAATGTTCATTAATTAATTACTAAAAGATTTGTCAGTGCAAGCAGTGTATATTGGAGAAAAAAATAACAGGCGTAAAAATTAGGTACTTAATTATGGCTCGAGAAGAAGATACCCTGCTGAAGCAGAAGCAACCATATGGTCTACCTTTGGGGCAGACCAAACAATGGCACCAGATGTGTTGTGGGAATATGCTTATTAGCAGGAAGCAGAGTATACAGGGTACTTAAGCAGAGTTTCTGCCTTCTAGATGATAGCCCTCCAGCTGCAAAATGGAGCTCAGAGCCATGCCTTATCTTAGATAATGAGCATTAACAGCAGTGTCCGTGTACCCTATTGCACTCAAGGAGTGCTGACACCCAGACTCCGGGCACTCCCTATGGAACGTTTAAGCGGAGCCTGGCTCTCTACTACCTGCATGAGATCACTGGGAGGGAGGCAGCTTGCTGCGACTCCAAGGCCCCAGCTGAGCTGGCCATAACTAAAGGGCCCTGTAGGGGAGCAGTTCATTCACCTAGTGATTTTTTAAGTTCTTGAATGTAAGAAAAGAGACACTTGCTATTGCCAAACCAGCGTACAGCAGATGAACAAAATGAGGTTTCATGAAGACATGTGCATCCTCACAGCTGAGGAACCAGTCCACGAGATAGTTTACTACACCTAATGAATTTATTACCCCTCCTCCTCCAACTAATAATAATAATAATTTTCAAGATGTTTCATTCTCTCGGTTTTCAAAACAACCCAGATTTCCTTATGTTGCATGAGTTTGATTTACAGAGCAGCCTCTCTCCAAATCCATGACTGATTTCCTAAGGGATGGGCATTATGACCAAGGTTGGCTAGGCCAGAAGCATCACTGGACAGGAGAGATGGGTAAGAAATCATGGTTTCAGGACCCTGTATATGTCATTCTTCTACCACAGCAACAATAAAATACTGTAGGAACTCCTTGTTGCTGGAGTACTATATTCAGAGCAAGCTGTGTTTCCTTAGAACTACAGTATTTTTTTTCCATAATGGTCAGGCCCATTAATGTAAAATGCCTAAACATTAGATAACTGTAAAGCTGTTTCAGCACGTCTTCAACTCCTTTTCGAATCAGGAGTCTGTCATTTAAGTCTCTTCTCACCCAGCCTCAACAACAGCTTTGGCAATTCTACTTAGGATGTCTGCTTATATCTCACTATCACTGCTCAATATGTCACATTTGGCAATAAGCTCAGTGTAAACCTGGAGTTAGAATAGAGAGACAGAGACATGGAAAGTTTGACCTGAAGATCTTTGACAGTGCAAACCACTGCACCAAGCATATTTTCAGAACAGTAATTAATACAATATATTTCAGCTGCCTCGAACACCTTTGCTAGCAAGTAAATAGATTTGAAAAGTATGCAGATACCTTCCCAAAAAAACAAAGAAAACAAGTGATAATTTTAGAGAAGTTTCACTCTTCTCATTTTTACACTTGGAACCAAAATATTGAATGAAGAATTCTCAAGTTCATAAACATGGTCTAGTTTAAAATAAGAATTTTCCCCTCAAACTACATTTATTCATGCTCTTTTCCTAGGAGGTTATTCTGCATTATCAGAGCACACACCCAGGCCCAACACAAAGGGGTCCAAACCTGATTTTCTGTTTCCTTACCCAACGTGCAGCCTCTTCAAAATGTATTTCAAGTTTTGAGGTGTTATTTAAATAGTACCTGGACTTTATCATTTTTATACTAAAGGCAAGGCAAGTTCTTCAAATTCACAGAAGAGAGTCAACAGACACAAACTAAACAAATGACAGAACATGCTACAGAGAAAGCTTCTGATCTTGCAGGCACCAGCAGAAGTCAGCCGCTCTTTAGTATGCTCTCTTGTCTAATTTGGTAGAAAACAGGATATGAAAAGTCAGACAAAAAAAAATTAGAGAAAAGGTCACACTGAATAGCAAGACAGTGCAGTAACTGCATCTCCTACCCCAGAGAGAAGTCAAAACTCTAAACCCACACAATACACACCTACCCACCCGGGTTTTCCCCAGTTTTTTTAAAACTTGTGCATCTCATGTTTCAAAATGTTACTGTTACACATTACTATATGACTGGCATGAGTTGTATCCTCAAGAGGATACAACTGATGAGATTACTATTAGAAACACATTAACGAAGTTTAGAAACCGAGATGCAAAAAGGGGAAAGGGGGCAGGCAGTTGTTGGAAGGGGTATTAGCTGTGGCTGGAATGAAGTATCATTCAATGCTGCAAAGAGGGGAGTGAGCAGAACAACTTCTAGGGAGCTTTGTTTGCTAGGATGGAGAAGCTTCTGGAAGGTGGGGCAGGCATAAGGTTCTACAGAAAACTGGTATCATTTTGTACTCCTTAGTGTTTACTAAGTGGCCATTACTCATCCTATTTATATTATATGTGAGAGCTGTTGATCAATATTGCAAAAGGGTGATTAGTGTTTAGTGATTAAACATCAGTATATGACCATCTGATTCAACATGCCTGAAGTGGAAGGAAGTGGTAAGAAACAAGCGATTGCATGGACTTAAGTAATGAAAACAGACAATTCATCTGAAGTCAAATGTTAATGTTGTCAAGATTTGTTAAGTGGCAAGGTAGAAGAGATTTATGGTATTCTCAGAACAGAGAGAAAAATTATTTCCTGAAGTTATTCAAAATCAAGTATACCATTGAGTGAAACTGGCTACTGAAATAGAAGAAAAGTGTTCTTTTACACTGTTGTCTGATACTGCAAGTGATGTCAATGTCACGCTTATCATAGAAACATGGCCACAATAATCAGCTGAGTCAGTCCCAGGTCTTCAGGAACTCTTCGACAGAAACTTTACTTCAGAAATCCAAAAATTCTTTGACACCCCAAAACTGGCAAAGAACAAGCAGTTATTACAAAAAAAACTGAAGGCAGAGACTTGGCCTTCAGAAGATGGTTACAACTGTTTTTATGTTAACACAACCTTCAACACAGCACAAAGATTACCATATCTTCTCACTTTTAGCACATCACTGGATATAACATGCACCCCATTTTGGGAATCACCAGGTAGGAAGAAGCTCTTACCTTGGAGTACCTAGCACCTGGCATTTCCAAGGCTAGAGCCAAGCAATGACCCCAGGGCTATGCAATGGGTCCAGCTGCTGACTGACCTTGCAAGTCAGTCCAATCCAGCATGTAGTGCCATGTCAATGTACTGGGAGGCTCCGCAGGAGTCCATAGATTTAGCAGTAGTGGAATGGTGGCAGTGTTAAATGCAATGGCTCACTGACAAATCTCCAGAACCCTCGGGAATCAGTATTTCATGCATACAACATGCACCCATATTCCCCCCAGCTGGCTTGCGAGGGGGGGAAGGATGTTCATGTTATATGCAAGAAAATGTGGTAACTTAAAGAAACTACTGAAGTATTTCAGCCTGAATATACTCCTCCAGACAGATTTAAATTAATAGCTCTATTACTAGATGAGAAAAGAAATGTAGAAAAAGGACAAATTTAAAGAAAAACTCAGATCAGCAAGAACATTAGCACAAGATGGATAATCAAGCATGAAAATGACAAGCACGTATGCAAAGAAAAATGCATTCTTTCAGGAAGAACTAACTAGAAACAACATTTAAGCTGCTGCAAGAGGTTCTATCCAACAATGCAGGAAAGAGTATGGCAAAGTGCTCTTTGCAATCTACTCAGATCATGAGGACAAGAAGATTTGAGAACTTCTTGGGTGTAATGATGCTACACCATTGAATGAGTACTGAACATTTTAACTGAACCCTTCTGAGGTAGCTGTTCCTTTCTTAAGAATATTGAAGTATATTAAACTATCACCACCAGTTGATAAAAAGAAGTTAGTTACTTCTGGTTTTCAATAATACTTGAAGAAATTCTTCAGTACATTCTCTTTGTGTATCTGCATCCAAACACCATTAAGTGTAGAAATTTGTACTATACACAAGAACTCACTGACAAACACACAGCAAACAGCTCTGTGGAGAAGTACTAAAAAACTTAAAAATGACTAAAAGGTTTGAAAGAAACTTGACAGATTATATATAGCCTTAACAAAGCCTCTGGAATATGGCTGTAATATTGTTAACTCATGTGACTTATAGCGAGCTGATCACCTTCACCATCCACCGTAAAGCTGGCAAG